GTATGCAAACATATGCCACCTACACAATTTTACACATATGCAAATATACACAGTTATAAGCATGTATGTATGTATATACATATGTGTGCGATGTAAAAACTGATTCGCCCTCGAATTGTCCTCCGACCTCTCGAGAAGGCCCGACCCCTTCCGTGGGGGGCGTTTTGTCGTCCTGGGTCCGTTTATGACATTCCCGGGGCCCGATCACAGGCGCCCCGTGCCGAACTCGAGGAAAGACACATGGAGTGGAAACGTCAGATCGTCGCAGATCTGGCTTCGCCTTTCCCGACGAGAGGTTGGTTCCCCCTCCCCCCCCTGCGCCGCCGCTCCAGGGCAAGTCCCTGAAGAGCCGGGTGGCAATGGCGCCCTCCCCGAACAGGCGGGGCGCGTCCCCGTTTGCCTGCGTCTCAATTGAAGAGGAGGAGGAGGAGGAGGAGGAGGAGGAGGAGGAGGAGGAGGAGGAGGAGGAGGAGGGAGGACGGACGAAGAGGAGGAGGAGGAGAAGAAGGAAGAGTAGGAGGGAGGAGGACAAGGAGGAGGAATTATCATCAGTAGGGAGGAGGAGGGAGGAAGTTGGGAGGTTGGGCTGAGGGAGGAGGAAAGAGCAGGAGGACAGGGGAGAATTGTCGGGGGCTGCGCAGATTTGCAGGGTTGGCGCTGGACCCTCCCAGCTACGCGGGGTATGCGCGCCGGGGCGGTGCCCAAGGCGCCGCCAGGTCAGTGGAAGGGCGGGCCAAGTGCCCACCCAGGAGAATTACACGCGGAGGTCTCCGGGCATGGTGTTTGCTTTGTTCTCTCAGAACTCTGTCCTCGAGGCATGGGGCAGCTTGGCTCGGAACACTGCCCGCCACGTAAGACGCTTCTCGGCGGCTCGCTACCGAAAAGACGCTCGGCGAGGGGCCCTTCAGGGCCCCAAAGGGGGGCCTTCAGGGACCGAAAAGTGTATTTTCTCTTCCCCAAAGGTATCCCCCCCCCATCAACCGACGCCCGAGAGGCTTCTGGGCGCCCTTGGTCCCAATCCTCCGACATCGTATGCTGAAGCTCTCTGCTCAGCGATGTTGCGCGATCCTCCCACCCCATTTGCTCTGGGCTCGTCTGGGCGGACATTTGCCGCCCAGCGCGCTGCTTCTGCATGGCGCGGCGGCCCTGGTCCCCGCGGTGTGTGTGTGTGTGTGTGTGTGCGTGTGTGTGTGTGTGTGTGTGTGTGTGTGTGTGTGTGTGTGTGTGTGTGTGTGTGTGTGTGTGTGTGTGTGTGTGTGTTGTTTTCCCTTGTCTATGTGCTGACTGATGATGGGGAGGGACGCGCGAGGTGCGCAAGCGCGACATCCGACACCCTGTCCCTCCCGCCCATCCCTTTCCATTTCGCTGGGTCTTGCTCTGTCAGCTGGCTGGGGTTTTCCAGACGGAATCATTGCCCACAGCATGGCAGCTGCAACATTTGATCCAACAGCTGCTGCGTATTCGGAACACCTGTTGTATGTAGGAGGAGTATCAGAGCCAGGAAGAGGAGCAGGACGAGGCGGAGGGGCAGAAGTCAGAAGGGATGATGATCAGGAGCAGGATCGGGAGGAGCATGACGTGCCGGATGAACGGAGGGCAGAACAGGGGAAACAAGGAAAAGAAGGGGAGGGGTAGCGACGAGAAACGAACATGTGATCCAGTGGCGCGACTCAGGGGTGGGCGCAGTTGGCGCCAGTCTGCACCACCGCGACTGGAGCCACGCACCGATCGGGAAGTGTGGCCAACGCTGCATCGATAGCTCCATGCTTGAACCACAGATAAGGTTCGACCGAGCAAAAAGTGATCAAGAAAGTTTGGAACAGTGTGTGTGTGTGGGGAATGCGCCAAGGCAGAGGTTGCAATGCGCTTGCGCAAGATCAGCGGAGGAAGGGGATTCGTATCTACATCGTCGGGTCTTTTTCTTGCTGGGGCCTGGGTTTCGCCACGCTCAGGCCTTGTGCTAGACCCTGCTCAGGCAGGCACAGAACCAGTGGCTGACTTTGCGGGTAAAACAAAGTTGTGGAGGAGGGTGGTGGGAGGAGGCGGACGATAATGTGAGTAGGGGAAGGGAGACAGAAGGACCAGGAGAGGGCAACGGCCCCTCCTCTCGGTGCCCCCCCACCCCCCACCCTCTCCCCCTGCTTGTGACAGAGGCCTGGAGAGAAGGAGGCATAAGGGCTGATATGGAAGGAGGGGAAGCGAGGGGAGGAGAGGAGGAAGAGGATGCTGATGCTGATGATGATGATGATGATGATGATGATGATGATGCTGATGCTGATGCTGATGCTGATGCTGATGCTGATGCTGATGATGATGACGATGATGATGATGATGAGGATGATGATGCTGATGATCATGATGATGATGATGATGATGATGATGATGATGATGATGATGATGATGATGATGATGATGATGATGATGATGATGATGATGATGATGATGATGATGATAAGGAGGAGGAGGAGGAGGAAGAGGAGGAGGAGGAGGACGAGGAGGAGGAGGAGGAGGAGGAGGAGGAGGAGGGGGAGGAGTATCACGAGGAGCAATAGGGGGGGAAGAGGTTGGCGGAGAAACGACGGAGAAGGAGGAGGCGAGGGAGGGAGGAGGAGGAGGCAGGGGAGTGGGGGGCATAAGAATGGGACACGAGAGCACGAGGAAGAGGACAAGGGGCGGGAGAGGAGGAGGAGGAGGAGGTGGAGGAGGGGGAGTGGAGAAGCACGTGCAGGAGGTGCACAGAAGGGGGGGGGAGGAGACGAAGATGGTGACACGACGATGAGGATGAGGTGGTGGCAGGGGGACGAGGAGGACGGGGGGGACTTCCGTCGTGGCTGCCCTGGCGGACATTGACATGCTCTTCTCCCCGCCAATCGGGCGCGCCGTCATTCTTACGTCGCAGAACAAGACAGCTTGTTCGTCCAGGCGGCCCCGCCTCCTCCGCGCGCATCCGTCATTCGCGGTGCATGATGTGCGCCGCCGCATGGATGGTGGACCATTTGAGGCACAAGCTCGCGCAATTGTCACAACAGGCTTTGAAGCAGGATCAGCATTCAGCATCTGGCCGGCGAGGTCATCGACTACTTCGAACCACTCAGCACACAAGGAGCGCAAACAAATGGCACGAACCCGCCCTGCGAGCTCTCCTGAGCTTTGCCGCCGCTGCGTGTTCACCGTTGTCTACGAGCATGGATGCATCGAAACACAGCGGCATGCGTAGGGCTATCTGTGCACGCCAGCGATGCGGCGCAAGATGTTGGCAGGCGATTCCGTTGATAGACGCGGGGGGCAATTCCTGCGCATCTTTAGAGAGAGAGAGAGAGAGAGACAGAAAGAGAGAGTGTCAGGCAGATGGGTCTCAGAAGTCCGCGGCAGACATATCTGGCGCGAGCGCAGCAGAACTCTTCGGAGACGCGTGCCAGGAGGTGAATCACAATGGGTATTGAAAAGCCAGGGCTGCTTCCGCGCCGCGCGACTGACAAGCTGGCCCTGGGTGTAGTCCAGGGCGCACGTCGTGGTTTCTCGATTCTGGGAGCGCTCCCCGCGCGGAGGTATCTGTGATCGGCCACGCGCAAAGGGGAGTAGGGGGACGGCTTCGTAGAAGCGCCCCTGCTTCTTAGCACGCGCGGGCCTTGTCCACAGATGTAGGGCCGGCGCCTACTTAAGAAGCAGCCTCCTTCTGAGAAGCCTTCCCCCCTCCCCCTGCCACCCGGTGCGCGCCGCCGGTTGAGGGCCAGGGGTGGGCCCCTGGCGGTGGCTGGCGCGGGGACCAGTGCGGCCACCGCCGCGCGATCGAGCCTCTCTTTTGCACGCGGGGCGGGTCTGTGCCCCCCCACCCCCCCCCCCTCGGTTGCGGCGGGCTCGAGCTTGGCGGGCTCCCGGCGGAGGCGTACAGTCAGGCCGCATCGTGAGGATTCGCAGCTTCCCAAGGTCACCCTGGCGTCCTTCCCGTTCGGCCCATCCTTGGCCGCTTTCGCTGGCGGCGCCCCGCTCGCAAAAAGTGTCAGCATCGCCGTTCAAGGCCCCCTCGCATCCTCACCGCGCGTCCTCGTGATACGGGTTGGCTGGAATTGGGGGCGGGGCTGGGCGTGGAGGGCACCCTTTTCAACCCCCTTTGAGATTCCTCCCCCACCGGGCCCGCGCGGCGCCAGGGCGGGCGCCGTGTACCTGCTGACGGTCCGCATCCACAAGGCGGAGCGGCTGCGCGAGTTCGCGGGACTGCTCGGCCAGGCGGCTGTTCTGCACCGCCGTCGCCGTCGCCGCTGCCGCCGTCGCCGCCGCCGCCGCCGTCGTCGTGGTCCTCCTCGTCGCCCTCGTCGACGTCCTCGTCCAGGCCTGGCGTCCGGAGGAGATTGGAGCGGCATGTGTGTGCCCGACGTTCTGTCCTCCCGCCCTGTTTCGGTGCCTCTCGTTTCCGGTCCGGGCCTCCGCCACCGTTGTCGCCGCCGTCCCCGTCGGTGTCGTCGTCGTCTTCGTCGGTGTCGTCGTCTTCGTCGTCTTGGCCCAGTCTCGGTTTTTTGAACCATCAGGACGATGAGGGAGGGGGGGTGAGGGAGGATGCGGGAATCGGGAGGAGGGGGACGCCAGTTGGTCAACCAGGAGGCGGCAGATTAGCCACGTGCAGCGCGGTTTCCAGTGACCTTTGCGCACGATGTATAGTTATGCAGGGAGCTCGGCAGCAGGAGGCGGAGGAGGATACGCACCTTCTCAGGCGAGGAGGGGGACATGGACAAGAAGGGGCAGGACAAGGAAGGGCTTCATACGAACTACGAGCTGCCAGTGCTGGTTCCCGTAGCCAGGCAGCGGGCATGTTCGGCGCAGGGTACAAGGCTTTGCTGCGGGGTTGTGTAAAGCAGTGCCTCTCTTGCGCTCGCTCTGCACCCCGTCCCCGATGTTGCCCTTCCATCAGTGTTCAACTCTCGTTATGACCGCTGGGCTGATGCACAGGCAGGGGGAGCAAGGATCCGATTCGGCAGAGAATTTGCAGCGGAACTTGCTGAGTTGGTCAGGCGTCTCTCGTAGCAGGTGGTACCCCCAGTGGGTACGGTCGGCAATGCGCTGCCGGTTCTGGCCCACCACGCCCCGGCTCGACACGCTAGTCGCGTCCCAGTCCCCCAAGCAGCAACAGCCCGAGACGTTCGACTCCCCCGGTCCCGCGAAGCAGAGCGGCACGCCATGCGCCTGCCAGGCACAGCGTGCCGCTAATTAGGGTCGCCGCCGCGCGGAGCAACAGTTCCGCACCGCAGGGGGGCAGGGGACGCAGAGGGGCGCTGTTCGCGTTGGGTGTGCAGGGCGCTTGAAGGAATACGCCTGCACTGCCCACGGGGCAAATTCAGCTAAATTCAGCATCGGCGCTGGTAGGTGGAATCCCGCCCTCGTCCCAATGCGGCTTCATCTTGGGCTCAATCTGGCCGACTCCAGCGCAATGTCCAATGGCCCCATAATCGTGTCTAATATTTGAAACGTCCGTACGAGGACCTGCCAGGAGTTGCTCCTCAAGCCTGCCGAGACAGCCCACAAACGCCCAGACCAGCTGGCGTCTCGGAGTGCAGAGCTCGCCGCATGTGCTCTGGTTCGCGGTCCTCGGCGACCCTGGGCCGTCCCCAGGCCCCGACGCCAGGAGTGTCTCCTGACGTCGATCCCCGAAGGTCTCGCCCCGTGGTTCTCATCCTGAGTCGTCTTGCTGCCAGCCCCGAAGTAGGAGGAGGAGCAGGAGGAGGAGCAGGAGGAGGAGGAGGAGGAGGAGGAGGAGGAGGAGCCGGGAGGAGGAGCGGGGAGGAGGAGCGGGGAGGAGGAGCGAGGAGGAGGAGGAGGAGGAGGAGGAGGAGGAGGAGGAGGAGGAGGAGGAGGAGCGAGGAGGAGGAGGAGGAGGAGGAGGAGGAGGAGGAGGAGGAGGAGGAGGAGGAGGAGGGGGAGGAGCAGGGAGGAGGAGCGAGGAGAAGGAGGAGGAGGAGGAGGAGGAGGAGGAGGAGGAGGAGGAGGGACGAGGGAGGAGGGAGGAGGGAGGAGGGAGGAGGGAGGAGGCCCGGTGAAAGGGCCCACCAGAGGCGGAACATTGCGAGGAACCTTCCGCCGTGCTTCCTGCCACGGCTCGAGGGGGCCTGGGTCTCGGGGCCCCGCTGCCGGGGGAGCCAGGGCGCGGCACAGGAGGAGATGGCCGGTCTCGGGGCCACAGGGCCGCGGTCGGGAGCCTTGAGACGTATGATGTTCCAACCAGCTTCAGCCTTGATCGCCAGGAAGAGTGTCGAGCGCCAGAAGAAGTGCCGAAGCTCGAGGGTTTTCACGTGTCGGGCCCTGGGAGGCACTCGTCCGACACTGTTTCGACACTGTTTCAACACTTTTCCGGGTGCCCGAAATTATTTCTGGGATGTGGTCCTTAAGTACGATGGGAGCAACAGAACCTGAGACGAGGGTCAATGCAAACGGGGATCAGCCAGAGCGCCAGATCCTGCGGGATCCTGCAGGGCCAGGCTCGCCTTGACCCGGGCCTGGGCGCAGGACCCTGCAGGATCCTGCAGGACCCCTGGCATTGACCCAGGCCTGGGCGCGGGATCCTGCAGGATCTTGCAGGAGTCTGCGAGGCCTGGCTGTCCGGGTCTGGATGGACCCAGGTCAGGTCCCTGACGCGGGCGCCCAGGAGCGGGGGGGCGCCCGCTGGCCTGCCGCGCCTGGCCAGGAGCACGTCCGCGGATGCGGGCGTCGCAGACGGCCCGTCTCCCACGGCTGCGGCCTCGGAGGGCCGTCTCCCTGGCCCCGGGGCCGTCCACGAAGAAGATGCTGGGGGGTCGGGGGCTGCCAAGAGGGGGGCGACGACTGGAGCGGCAGCCCATGCCAAGAAGCACCCGGCGTGCTTCCAGGGTGCCCTGGGCTTCTTGGGTTTCGATGGTTCTGCTCTGGTAGGCGGGACTTTCCCACGCCACACAGAGAATGGACGTCCTGGGGTCTCAGGGTTGGGTGTCCTGTGGAAGGTGTCTTGTTGTCGAGACCCCACTGCATTTAGGGGATATGGGTATGTGTCCCAGATCTCGTGGCCCCTCGTCTTCTTTCAATGCGCTTCGGGCCCCCCCCGGGTCCGCACCCATGCCTCGGGCCATGATATTTTAGCGGGCCCCCCTCCTGGACGCCCCCGTCCTGGACGGCCCCGAGCTGGAAGGCACCGGTCCCCAGGCAGGTGTCCGTCGGGTGGGGCCAGGACGAGGAGCAGCCACGCGCAGAGGGGGACGAGGGGGAGGGGGGAGGGCTTCTTAGGAGCACCCCTGCTTCGTAGAAGGCGCGGGCTTGATCTATAGATGTAAGGCCGGGGCCGTCTGCGAAGCAGCCTCCTTCTAAGAAGCCCCCCCCCTCCCTCCGCCCCCTTGTGCGCGCCGCCAAAGGATAGAGCGGTTCCAGAGCGTCCCCGAACGCTTTCAGAGCGTTCCCGAACGCTCTGAGAAGGCCACGGCGCCCGATACATCCTCCAGAGCCTCGATTCTCGATTGCTCCTCGCGGCCGCGGCGCCCAGAA